AGGGAAAGGGATACTTGGGAAGACTGACAGAACTGCGGTGTCCCAAGGACTAAGAATATAAAACACATCAATATTTCCTACACACTTTATTCCTTTGTGGAGATATGAAGGTGATGGCATGACACTTACTAGTTAGCCCCACTCAGCTACGGGCAGATCAATAAAGATGTCTGCATACAGACATGAAAGGGTTTGGGAATGAAGCCCTCATGAGCGAGTTTATGTGAGACACACACCCTCTCCCACTGTGCTGTTTCACTTCATCTCTACAGAGCTCTAGCTGAGCCTTGCATGCTGCATGCAGAGAACCCCGTGGCATTTGGATGGAATGCTGTTCACAAAGGAAAAGGCACAGACCAAGACAGGAGAAAGAGGTTTCACTACCTTATACAAGACTGTGAATTTTTTATGTTTTTTTTTAAAGCTTTTTACTATGTTTGTTCAGGTTCTCTGCTTCTTTGTTGAGTGAATTTAGAATTGGGATAACTTTATATTTGAAAGACTGGGGTATCAAAAAGAGCATCATCATTAGGGTAAGAATAGTAGCTTAGAAGCCTTCCTCTACCACTCTGTAACCTAGTGACCTTGAGGAAGTCCCTAAATAGGCTGAACCCTGGGAAATGGGAACTGTGGGGAGAAGCCTCTTTAACTCTCAGGGCAATAGAGCCAAACAAGGCGAAGGTGTGAAGCACTGAGCCATGCAGATGTTTTACTGAAAGAGCATCACATAGTGTGGTGTCTTTACTTGGCATCTTTGCCTCCCAAGTCCTCTTTCTTCCCATTCTAGTGAAATTTATGGAACGTGTTCTTTTGCTCCTGTACTATTTCTTCCAAAGCTCCCCACTAAAATCTGTGACAAAGAATAGGAAAGTTTGATGATTGAAAAAAGTTACAGCATGGTTTGCCCTGCTGGCCCACATCTGCCAAGGTTGCTCTGGGTCTAGCCATGAGCCAGCTACCCACAGTCCTAGAGCCAGTTCTCTTACATGATCCTCAATCCCAACTGAAAGTTCTTTTCAGGGTGACTCAGATTATTGTAGATGAGGTGACAAGGCCTGCAAAGGAAAAGTTTATCAAACTGAGACTCCTAAATCCAGGGAGGAGGAAGTAGACGTCTTCATGACACATGACATGGTTCAGTCTTCCTCCAATCCACTGAACTAGAGAAGCACTGGAGAGAGCCAGGGACAGAAATGGGGAGAGTCGGAGGAGTAGACATAAGACGAAAAAATGGAAGTGGCTACCTATTTCCTTTTCCAGCACTAAAAACACTTATACAAACATGCCTACATATTATAAGCACAATGTAGTAGTATGAAAATAGCTACACACATTTCTCAGCTGCTCAAGACAAAAATGATTTTTCAAAAAAATTCAAAAAAATATTGGTGCACTGTAATTAAGCATAGTAGTTGGATTCATCATGATATATTCATTCATGCACATAGCATAATTTGGTCAATTCTATTCTCCAGTATTTCCCCTTTCTCTCTCTTCCTCTCTTCCCCAACCACCTCCTCTACTCTACTGGTCTCCCTTGTATTTTCATGAGATCTCCTCCTTTATTTTCCTTTTACCCCCTCTAGCTTCCAGGTTTGACAGAAAACATAGAAACCATGATTTTCTGAGTTTGGCTTATTGTGCTTAACATAAACCCCTCAGGTTCCATCCATTTTCCTGCAAATAACATAATTTCTTCTTTATGGCTGAATAAAACTCCACTGTGTATATGTACCACATTTTCTGTATCTATTCATCTGTTGGTTCCATAACTTGGCTGTTGTGAATTGCACTGAGACAAAATTTCTGAAAGAAGGACCTAGAATCAGAAAAGTCTAAGAAATATTTTTTATTAGAGATCCCTGGTTCCAGCTCTAACTCTTGCTTTTATTATTTATTTTGTTTAAATATTAAAAAATATTACAGAAAAGAACAAAGCTGAAATTATAATAACCTCTATTCTATCAGTTAAAATGAACCATTGCTAATATATGGGTATATTTGCTTCTAATATATTTTTTTAAATTTTTGATGTAGTTTATTATTATTATTATTACATTTCTAAAATTATAAATGTTATTTTGAAATAAAATGTTAGCTTTGATTTTACTTGAACTTATTGAAGTGAAACTAGAGGAGCTATTAAACTTCAAATAAATATTTCCTCACCTCAAGAAATACCATTCCATAAGAGGGCTTTCTAAGTTTAAGTAAATATGGAAAATACTGATGTCAGGATGAAGATATTTGAAATTATGTGTTTTAATTTTCAGCATTTTAAATTTACTTGTTGCTTTGAAAGAAATAGGACCAGAGCACTGTCACACATCTATCATTTCTCTTTCACCTCCAACATTTGTAAATTATATTAATAGTTTTACATCATTTGGTTTTATAACATTACATTTTATTCTTTAACTACAATGTTCATTTGTTTAATGGCCAATACTTTTGTGGATTAAATGCTCATTACTGGTCTGTTAAAAAATCATATATTCTGGGTGATTTGAGTGTAGCTCAGTGGTAGAGTGCATACTCAGCAATGTGTGAAGGTCCTGGGTTCAATCCCCAGTGTGTAACACACACACACACACACACACACACACACACACAATTGTACCTTCTCTTTCTCTCTCTCTCTTTTTTTTTGGAACAAATAAATATTTATTTAACACTGATAGATGCCTGTAAGAGAGTCCCATGGCCAACAATTTCTCTAACAATAGAGCATTTTAAAAAATTAGATTATTGTAACCAAAATAATATATGCCCTTTGTTAAAATATATATATGTATGTTATCCATTCAGACATATATATAATAAAAGTTTCTACATATAGTCAAGTTTCAGCAACTGTCATACGTATAAGTAGTATAATAATGCCTGATAACATCATGCTGATTGCAAATATATATTCTTAATATAAATGATGTATTTATTATGAAATATTCCATATTTTATCACCTTTAATCTGCATGATGCTTTTCCTTCAGATCCTGTATATTCTATTTCTGAATTTTCATTTTGATTGAAAATGAATTGACAGGTTTCTATTGTCTTTTTTTTTTTTCAGACAGGCTCCTGGGTAACATGTTCCCCTAAACCTTTCACAGTTCTTCTTGGGATAACATTATTGGGTCATGCTATTTTCACCTCAAAACATTTGTTCCATTGTCTAACAGCATCAACTGATACTGTGGAAAAGTCTAAGGAAGACTTTTTATAGGTTATTTGCATTTTCTGTCCAGAGGCTAAAAATTATTTTATCTCTGAAATTCAGGAGTGTGACGATCATCTGTCTTTGTGTAAAGTTCTATATTAAGTTTTCACATAACACATGTTCCTCCAACTATAGATTTTTTAAAAAATCCTTTAATTCAGATAAAATGCCATGTTATATGTTTAAATACATTAACTATTTTATATTTTAGGCTATTTCAGGGACATAAGTTATCCTGTATCTTTTTATATCAATGACCTTTTTTTCTTGTGGCTTTAACTTTTTCAAACTTAGTGTACCTGAGTTATCTCAAGATTTCATCCTACATCTATATTCTGATTATCAGTGATACTTTCTTGGACTCTATCCTTCCACTTTGTTATTTCCTTAATAATGCTGCTTTGGTTTTTCATTTTGTTTCCACAGATTTTCAAATTTTTTTTTCATAACACTCTTTTTACATCATTTTAGTTTTGGCTCAATATTGACTTCATATCCTTATTAATACTTTTTGTGTCAAAAAGCACTTGTGAGAAAAGTTCTTGAAATATCTTTATTGGTTTTATTTATGAATGGTCGTAAACTAAATCCTCCCTCAATTGAATCAACCATGGAGAAAAAAAATCCTCCTCAATTGCACTGGAACCAGAAGCCCAGAATCATGCTGAGTCACCTGCATTTTTGGACTATAATTTCCTAACATTTCAGTCAGAAACCAAGACAGCAGAAGGGACTTATAGATAAGAAAAATGAACAGGAGCATCCGTACAGAGATATGACACCATTTCATCAAATGTTTCCTTATTAGGACTTGTAAGCTTTCTATCCACCCTCTATTCCTGGACCTCTTTTAGACTTTTAGACTCCATGTGCTTTTCATGGAGTTAAAGAACATTTCTAATTTTTGCTTTAAGGCTACAGAGCACAGGTACTCCACAGAGAAAGTTGAGGAAACACTTCTTTGACCTCTTCTTTGTATGTTAACAAGAAATGAATATGTTAGAAACTTTTAAATAAAATTTAAATTGTCACATGCTAGGAACTTTCTCCATAGAGTAAGCAACTTACCACATTCAACGATGCTTCCTTTTGCATTAGAAGCTCAAAGAAAATCTAATTATCTGAGAAGATTAGATGCAAAGAAATAAATGCAGGGACAAATCTTTCTAAGGGAAACTCCAACATATTTATAGACAGGATGCAAAGATATAAGACTTACGTGGTATTTAAAGTGTATTCAAGTAATAGCAAGATAATTGGTAAGAAAATTAAACAGTTTCATTTATGGGAACTCAATTCATCACCATACCTAATGTTTTTATAGTTTCCTCTTAATGCTCTTGGGTTAGAAGGAGGCAATCTATTTTGATTATATGGGCTGAATTTTGTGGTCTTCTCAAATGATACACAGTAATGGGCTGTTTCAGCAAATATAATCAAATTGTTTCATTTACTTTAGCATGCAAATTCAAGCTCCTGCTGCAGTTTAAAACAGAGAAAATGTTGCTGGGCTGGCTTTGTTTGATTCTCCTTAGGATGAGAGCGTATAAGGAGTTACCAAATAATTTTTGTCATTTCATATGAAAAACAGCACAACAGCATGCAAAATATTTCCAGAGCACATGTACTCTGTGATTTTTAAGTACAGGTTCATAAATTTCTACCTCTGAAAATATTTAAGAGAGTATAAAATCTAAATTTTGTTAACCTTGCTTAGGAGTCAATACTCTGCACATAAGAAAGGGAAATCAATCTAACTTTCCTTTGGTTGCTAAAATAGGAGAAATGTAGAAGCTGGAAAAGACTAGCTGTCATGAAGAATGCCTCATGGAACCCCTCAGTGAGAAGAATCATTAGAGAAGTGTGCACCCTCCAGGATGTATCCTTGAGGTAAAAGATGCCTGCGTCCCATTTCTTGCCCTTTCCTGTGTTTATCAAATTTTATATTTCCTTTCATTTAATACCCTAGTTATAGGCATACACAATGTCTAAGGGCTGTTTATTTTAAAAAGCCAAGATTGCTGGGTGTAATGGCACATGCCTATAATCCCAGTGGTTCTGGAGACTAAGGCAGGAGGACTACAAATTCAAAGCCAGCCTCAGCAATGGTGAAGTCTCACTAAGCAACTCAGTGAGACCCTGCCTCTAAATAAAATGCAAAACAGTGCTGGGATGTGGCTCAGTGGTCTAGTGCCCCTGAGTTCAATCTCCAGTACAAAAAAAGAAAAAAGAAAAAGAAAAAAAAATTAACCTAGAGGACATGGCATCAATAAGAAACAGGAACAGTCCTTTATGTCCACTTTTCAAAAACAGACCAAATGTGTGCTGAATACTTACTGAGATGGCCATTTAGCCAGGTGGTACATATAATAGTTACAGTGAACCTTGGGAGAGAAACAGCTCCTTTCAGAACAGTATGAACAACATGCAATTTCCTTAAAATCGAGTCGCTTACAGGAAATGGCATTGGCTGCTGCTGTGATCTCTTATCCTTGGGTAGCCCGTTGTTTTCTGGGATTCCCTGGTTAGACCTGGAAAGCTGTGAGAGCCAGCTATAGTGACTGCTCAACAGCCATAATAGCATGAGACCAGGTCAATAGGAGAAGGTCTGGAATGCTTAGCAGGAGGGAGGGGTGTGCTCCAACCCAGAAATTAAAGGTCTTTATGCTCTGACTTCCAAATTTCTCCTTGGTCGGGTTGGTGAGTTCCAGGCTCACCCACCATCCACACCTGTTAGACACATCGCATCTCACAGAAATCACAAAACCACTGTGTCTGAAACAGGACACTTGATTCTCTACTACTGCCTGCTTTGTGCACCTTCATATACAGCTCAGAATACTCCATGGTGATCTTTCCCTCCCTGCACACATCCAATCCATGACCAAATCCTGTTAATCTCCTCTAATTCATAAATGCCCCTGGAGTCTAATTCTCTCCACTGGTCCAGACCACCACATTTCTCATTCAGACTAAAGCAGATATCTGAATTTACACTCTATCTCCTTCCAAAATCCAGTCCCTTCTCTCCTTGATGGCAAAGGGAATCTCTCAAAAGACATATCAGATTATGTTGCTGCCATGATGTAAAACTTTGAATGCTTCTAGGGAAGGTGAAAATGAGGGGTGGGGGGAAGTGCTGGGGAGTGATACTGGCCAAATTATATTGTCATATTGTGAGTTGTGTATTATGTGCACGTATGACTACGTAACAACAAATCCCATCAGTATGGACAACTCCAATGTGCCAATAAACCATGTGGGGAATAAAAGGTTGAAATAAAGTTCACCTAGGGCTAGGAAGCTCTGCGTGATCAGGCTCCAGATTCCCTCATCAACTCTAGTCCCTGCCCTTCACCGTGGATTCATTGTGCTGTCACCACCATCGTATCCTTCAGTGCCCCGTTTCCTCCTTCTGAGCCTTTTCCCACCTGAGGGGCCCTTCCTTATCTCTAGCAGTCCTCATCTTTTCCTTTATCTTTGTGGTCATGCCCTATCAGCAGCGCAGAGAGGAGCCCAATGAATGTGTGCTGAAGGAATGAATCAGAAAAGGAATGGTGGGAAGCAGGCAAGGCTCTGACATCAAGTCTCACCATGGGCCCTGCAGCAGTGGCCAAAGTCTCAGCAAAGACAAGGCAGAATTTATAAAATTCTGAATTAAAAGCCTAAAACACTGGGGCTGGGTAGGCTGCCTTTGACATGGACATTTCAGAGAAGTGGTGATTTTAATTTGTGAGACTTGATAATTAAGAGGTAACCTAGGGAGGTTATCTAAATGAGCAAGAATGAATATCAAAAGCACTTGTAGGCAATTTTACAAATGATGGTATCATAAAAGGCCATCCAACAAAGTCTGGGTGACAAGAATGGTTACAGGAGAAGGCTGAGGAGGATCCACCACCCCTTCCTGTTTTCTTGTCAGGCCTAGGCTTGTTAATTCAATGAATTCGCTCTGAACAAAAGTAGCCACCACAGTAGTTATTTTTTTTTTTAAACCAAGAACTGTTACTAACTGCTTTCTCCTCCCAACTCTGCCTTGTGGATCTCCAGAGGTAACTGTGGGTTGTTTGGTGAAGCGCAGACCATGGAACTGAAAGGCGGTGCTGTTGCCAGAATCCCTGCTCTTACCTTCTGTCCCAGTGCTAATTAATATTCAGCCTTATCAAGCCATAGGGGAAGTGTTGAAATAGAGAAACTTGTATTTGGTATCTACTTCTCCATCCTTTACCTTGTTAGGTGGTCTGTACCCAGGCCCCAAAATGGGTTCCCAGAGCTCTTCCTCGGACAGAGTCTCTTTAGAAAGAATAAAAGCTAATAAGTCACTAACACCTTAGCGTGAATTAGCTAATGACCCTACAGGGAAACCACTGACCTTCGTGAGGTGAAATATTTTGGCCAGAGGCCTCCCCACCCCCTCAAATTCCAGCCCCCACTCCTTCTCGGTCCATGCTGGCTAATGAGCATGTGTGGGCAGAGGAGCTCAATAAGGATTGACTGATTTATTGATCTATGGGAGCAAAGCTGAGCTTAATCTTCCCTTGCAGCTGCTCCTTTCCTTGCATATCTCTGGAGAAGTGTTTGGCCTGGCCCAACTTCCCCAAGCACCATGCCTCCCACAACTTTCTACCAGGTCTTAAAGGGAGTTTGGTGTGAAGTTAACCATGGCAGAGAAACACCTGGAGACTCTGAAGCCTGGCCAGGTAGGAACTTCTATATCACATGAAGGGAAGCCTCCTTGGCTGCTTTCTCTAGGGGGTTAAGGTCCTTTCCCCCCTGAGCCCTTGGCCTTCTGTGTTGAAAGCTGTGAAGCAGCTGGGAGGGCCTGCAGATGCTGGAGTGTGGGTGGGGAAGTGCACTCTGGACCCTCCTTGCACATTAGCCTGGGAAGAAAGAGAAGCTGACACCGGGTGAGCACCCCAACAGATGGTAGAAGAAATGGGGCTATTTATCCTGAATACAAAGAGAATTCAAGGTACTTCAGAGCCAGCTTCCAACACTGGCAGGACTGTCACACAGAAGATGGCTTTGACTTGTTCTGTATCTCACCAGAGGTTAATATTAGGACTAGTGAGTAGAAGGTGGAGAGAGGAACGATGGATCTCATGTTAAGGAGTTTTCCTTAGGACCCATGTCGTCTGAAAGTGTGGTGGCCATACAGAGGGCATAGTGAGCTTCCCATCTCTAAGGGCATTCAAAAAGAAGCTGAGGGACTCGCACGGGTCCTTGCTTGATCATTTGAGAGAAATTAGACTGGACCACTGTGGAACCCTTCAACACTGGTTGGAGGGTTCCAAGAAACCAGGAACCAGGAGAATTGCAGTATCTGCCCATTTGGCTCAGAGCAGGATGATAGAGTATCCCAGGAACTCTACCTGTGAACAGGGGGGTGGGCACCCAGTGGTTGACTGCATTTCTGCAGAAAGGGGCCATTGAAGAAATTCTCAGAAACAGTCTTTTAGACCTGGGGCTAAAAGTGATCTTGGATATTTATTTCCAAATATCTCTAAACTCCAAGAATGGAAAGACAGCATCTTAGTGAAAGGAGCTTGTCTTTACTTAATACCTTCTCTGTTTTATACCTGCACTGCCCCTTATTTTAGCCCCATGTAGCTATTGAGCATTTGGCCCATACCTAGTCTCCACTGAAAGGTGCTGTAGCTATAAAATACATAAGGTTTCAAAAATTGTAGTATGATAGAAGGAACTTAAAATATCTTATTTTTATTTTTCATATTGATGTCATGTTGAAATGATAATATTTTGATGTATTAGGTTATATACAATAAGATTAATTTCCTTGCTTATTTTTTAAAAAAACAGCTACTAGAAAATTTAAAATTATGTGTGGTTCACCTTATGCATCTGTAGGATAGTGCTGCTATAGATTCAGGAAAAGCATTTCTACTTGTTTTCTTATTCAATCCTCACAACTGTGACGTGAGGGAGTTGCTGTTAGCATCCTTATTTTGTTCATGCAGACACCAGAATTTAGGGAGGTTGAATAGCTTCCCGACACGCAGCTAGTAAATTGCTGACTTGGGATTTGAACTCAGGCCCCAGTGACTCTGACCACGTTCTCCCATGACATTATGCTGCTATATTGACATCCTCTTCAGGGAATTGCTGTTACATTGTAAAATGCTGAAGGAAGGGGCATGAGAAATGGTTGTGGAAATGCTGACAGCAGCTAAATGACATAATTAAAAATGCAGAAGGCTTTTGAAGTACAGCAGGACAGTGAATCTGGCTCCAAGTTAGATATGAAATCAGTGCCCTGAGATAAGGGGACCTACAATCCTGGAACCTCAGAAGCACACACACAGAATTCTAAAGTATTGGGGATGGAGGGGCATTCCCTGATGGAGCTCGTGTGACCAGAGCTTGCAGCCAGGGCTTTTGATGAGGTGGGCACACTTTCTGTAGGTGGAGGGGCAGAGACTGCAGCTACAGCAGGGAGATGAAGGGAGATTAGAGCGTGTCTTGGGAGAACGTAGTAGTCCCCTTGATTCTGGGTCAACAGAAGTTCCTTCCATAACTGACCATCCTGTATGTGGCCCTCCACCTGACTTGGGAAGCCATTTTCATTTTTCCAGTTAGCACAGCAGGGAAGGATGGGCCCTATTTGGAAAGGGTTCTTCACATTTCCCCAGGCACATAAAGTGCCCTCTCTCTGTGTGCTGCCCACAGTGACTCCCGGTAAGACACAGGGTTGCTTCCTCTGGCTGTGTTGGATCCAGGGTGTCTGCAAGCCAGGCTTGTGGGGGCTGAGGGCTGCATGTGGGGCTGTGCCTCGGGAAGGTTTCTCCCGGGGATCATCTGTTCCTGCCCTTACAGTTAGAAAAACAGAAGGCGGGTGTGGGCTGTGGGAGGCAAGAAAATCAATGGCAGAT